ACTTGAACAGTGGCTTGGCCTTTCTCATACCCTGCTACCTTTGACCTTTATAAATTATTTAGTTATCTCAACCATGAAGTAGGAATATGCATATAGACCTGCTAGCATTTGAATAGTGACCTACGCAAAGCATCTAGCTTACTTCCTGCTGTAGGACAGACTGCCAACTAAGGGCGGCTGCTGTTTTTGTCATTTTTACTTGTCCCAGGTCTATGAAATGGTGAGAGATGACTTCTGTCCGGCCTTGTCCCTTCTTTTTCATGAGATTGAAACCAGGCATATATTGGGAGAATATATGCTATTAGCCTGAAGACTGCGAGCAGAGAGTAGCCCACCTGCCAGATCTACTGCTCTAACCTCTGGCCTTGGGAACTGACTTCCCAAGGCATTACTACCTCTTCCAGTCACACTGATGGTCTGTGCATCTCAGGCCTCCAGGGTCCAGCCCCTTCCTTCTCCTATGAGTGCGGCTATGTAAACACCAAGCCAGGATGACATTTACTGGTGCTGCCTGACCCTAGAGGGCTGCCAGCCAAGAGGGATCAGGGACTAAATTCCCCACTCCACTGTGAGCACTTCACAGCATTCCCTGCCCGGAGAGTTTTCCTGCCTCCTTCCCTTCTGAATGAAGTGTACTCTGTTCTTAAGGGATTTGTTTTTTATTTAGTTATTTCCAGTGTTTTGCCCTTTAATATAGCTGCTTTGGGAGGGAGTTTTAGGAAGTACTTAAAAGCAAGAATTCTAGTCAGAATATCTGATTTCATAAATTGACCCTGTCTCTCCTATCTCTCCAAGACTGAATCCCTTAGACCAGAGGCTAAGCCATGATGCATCTCCATTTTCTTAACTGTAACAGGGACAAAAGCAATGGCAAGCCAACAGGTTTTCTGTGGGATTTTAGGGGGTGACAAGATGTACAACCAAAGCGTAATGCACAATAAGTCCTTGATATGGCACTGTTTTGTCTAACTCTGTCCCTTTCATCCCCACTCCTGCTGCTGTGGGGGGAAATGTCAAATGACACACTTTGAACTATAGTCATCTCTCTGCTTTGGAGGATGGAAATTTTTGAAGGAGCCCACTCCCATGCTGGCCTCTGAATTCCCTATCTGTCCTGCATGGAGGCACAAATGTGTTTTCTCGGACCTTTGATCTTACCGTCTTCCTCCCCCTCTCTTCTGCTTGTCCCTGCCCTGTCCTTCTGCCACCACAGACTCTCAGGGTAGAAGACACACAGGCATCAGCAGCTGTCACCCAGCTCCATCTCTGGATAGGAGGGGAAGGGGTGCCATGAGAAAGTAGTGGCATTGGATGTCATCACCGGTTAGATGCTACCTCTCAGACCTTGTTCTATTCTATGGTCCTGGATGAAGGGTATCATATTTCTGGATTTGGCTTCCCCAGTTTATTGAATGGTCTTTGTAACTCTTTCAAGCTGAGCAAAGGCTATGGTATCAGAAAACACATTCTTGGCCATGATATGATACGGAGAGTAGCCCTCCTGCTTATCAATAGCACCATAGGCTTCGTGGTGTCCACAACCCCAATGTCAGAAGCTGATCAGCACAGTGGGATGCTAAGAGTGTGTTGCTTTGGAGACAGAGAAGGGTTGATGTTGCTCCCCTCATTTCATCTCTGTTCTGCCTTGTGGATATTTGGTTCTCATAGTCATGCATGAGCTACTACTTCAAAGAGCTTGGATACCTCACAAAGATATGCTACCGTGGGCTATCCCATATTTGTTTGGATATTTAGAACATTATTTGCAGAGTCTGGGACAGATCCCCAGAAGGCCATTCGAGACAATCCACACTGGGTCTTAGTGATCATGTCTAGGAAACAAGAGGAGGTGAGGACCTTGACGAGAGCCGAATAAATCCCACTTGTTACCCAAGTTCTAGCCCATGGCTCCAAGACAGGTTGATACTGATAATGTTAACAATCTTCCTACAAATGTTCTCTCATCATTAACCCCTCACACTAAATTCTTCTGCTTTTGTTCTCTGACAGTTTCATACATGTCTATGGTAAATTTTGGTCACTGTCAACCCCATCCCCTATCACTTTCTCTCCTCCTCGGTTTTCCAGAGAAATCCTCTTCCCAATGATTCCCCTCGCACTTTCACGTGTGTGTGTGTGTGTGTGTGTGTGTGTGTGTGTGTGTGTGAGAGAGAGAGAGAGAGAGAGAGAGAGACATTCAGAAACAGAGACCCACTGATTTGAATTAGGGTTGCTTATGAAGAGCATGGGTGAGTGAGTGTTCGTTGACTAAATCATGGACCACTTAACCAATTACTAAACTACAGAAGAAAATGACACTTGCTCATCAGTAAGCATTAACTCCCTCAGGGAACAATGGGTCTCTGTGATGCTCTCTTGTATATTGGACTATTTCTGTGAGGTTGTTGAGCTCACTAGGAGATGCCATGTGTCATGATGTGTATTTGGAGATGGGAAACTTCTGGAAGCATCCCTGAGTATCAGAATGAACAAACTAGATGGAAAGTATCAGGGCAGGATCTTAGCCATGCCATGAAGAATTAGTGCTCTGAACCTCCAGATTATCTGGTTGAGGGTAGCCAGGCCTGTTTGGCTGAATGAGATTCACTTATGCCCTTTGAACCATTAATAATTTGAAAATGGTTGAGAGAGAAAGCAGGTAGTGGGGACATGAGAATGCTCTCCTGATACTGGTCACCATCACCTCAACAGCTTCTCTCTGGTCTCTAGAAACTTCTTGACCTACCTGGTCTCGATTGCTTTGCCAAGAGGTGGGTGAAATGGCCAGTCCCTCTGGCCCTTTGGAAATTCACTTTCTTTAGTGTTTACAGTCAGCCTTGTGTTGGACAGCTCAGTCTCTGGGTCTGGAAATAGAATTTATGGGTACCCACCCACAGGACCCTTTTCCTCATTTACACCACACCCAATTTTCCCAAAACACAGCTCCCAGCTCCACAGTCCCCTCCAAAAACAGTCTCTCATGGAGGACGTTCCAAAGTGGCTGTTTTCTCTATCATTTCCTCCCCCCACTTCACTTCCTGTTTTTTTTCTTCCTCTTTCTCCGCCCTCACCCCATCTCTCCTGGCATGTCCAGGCTGTCTGAGAACAGGAACAAAGCACTGAGCGTTGATAATCATGATTTCCTGTGGTGCCCTCTGGCCGCAGCTGCAGAGAACCCAGGCGAATCCAGCCTCCTGGAGGCAAGCAAAGAGCAGGGGCAGTAAGCCTTGGCTTTCAAAGAGCCCCTCCACCCTGCCCCAGACAGAACCCATGAAGAATAATCCTCCCTGTCTTTCAATCACTGACAGCTTCCAAAGCACTTTGCCCTGAATTTGAGGAGGACAATGAATGCATAGACAACTTCTGGTTTTTGACCCCAATAAATGTAATCCAACTGATATAAACAGAAAGATCTGGGAGTCAGATGTGGCCCTGTTTCTTTTTCTCTTTTGTATTTTAACTCTTGACCATATTCATCTGCCTACTTTCTCTTAGCCTCTCCCTCAACTGGTGAACTCCTTTTTCTTCTTCCAATTAGTCTACCTCCTCTTTCCTTGTGTGTGTGTGGGTGTGGGTGTGTGTGTGTGTGTGTGAGAGAGAGAGAGAGAGAGAGAGAGTGTGTGTGTTTATGTATGTGTGTGTGTGAATGTGTGTGTCAGTGTGTGTGAGAGTCTACGTGTATGTATGTGTGTATGTATGAATGTGTGTGTGTGAGTGTGTGAGTGTGTAAGGAAGCCCTTATGCAGGTTGGACTTATCTCTTCTACAATGCACTTTTCTTTGCGCCTCAGCAAACATTCTAACTGTAAGAGGTTTAGGGTTCTAGTTGTTTGGAAACATGAAAGTAATAGTACTTGACAAGAAAAATTACAAATGGAGTTGGGAAAATATGCACATAGAGGTCACATGATGTGCCTGGAAGGTATGATTTGGTTAGGAAATGTTACATGCATGCTTTGCTCCTCTCCATTCCTTTTCTGTGTAGAAGTGTAGCTGTTCAAATACACGGAACAGTCAGAAAATCCCTTTAAGAATTGGTTCTCAAGGAAGAGTCTTTATCTTTTCCCATTTCCTGCAACAGGGAGAAAGAGCATGGTGGAGGGAGGGAAGAAGAGGGAAAGGAATTGTGGGAGGGAAAGAGAGACTTGTTGCCACTAAAAAGCAAAGCCCACCTACTGCTGTGTCCCTGGTTCGCAGTCTTCCGTAACAATATTTTTATAATGAGAGAAACATGGACACCATCCCAGTCACATGCCTGAGATGAACTGTTTTACCAATTTAGTTTCCTCCTGGTAAAACCATAAAATCTACAAAAACAGAAGTGTGGAGAAAGGATCACCTCTGTGTGAAATCTGTTTTTAAAGGGGAGCTAGGACATGTCTCAGTGTGTGAAGTGTTTGCTGGGCAGTTGTGAAGACCTACATTCAGATCTTAAGTACCCATATACATGCTACACATACATGGTGACCTACTAATCCCAGTGCTCAGGAGGCAGAAGTGGGGTTCCCAGGGGCAAGCCAACTACACAGACTAGCCAAAGTGAGTTCTGGGGTCAGTGACAAACCCTGCCTCCACGAGCAAAGAGAAGAGTGATAGAAGCAGGCACCTCGTGTCAACCGCTGGCCTCAACACACATGTACACACACGCACGCACGCACGCACAGGAAAAGCCTTCCTATTCAGGGCCAGCAGCCACTCTTTGGTCAGCCTGACCACGAGCTTGCATTCTAATGTTCCCTTTGCCTTAGAGTCAGAAGCCAAGCTGGACCCTCTCCCAAACTGATGATTATCAAAGATGCTGTTTCCTTCTTCAAGCCCATAGTTTCCCTGACTACAGAATGAATGAGTTGGGCAAGTTTCTCTCATGGATGTCTTTCAGTACTGGTAGTCCTTGATCGTGTGGTTTTTCTGTGCTTGGCTTAACAATTTCATTGTCACCGGAGAAGGCCTGGAAATTGCCTGTCATAGTAACTCGACTTTCATTCCCTTTCCACAGAGTACCTACCATTCCTATAAGGACAGACTCTCGGTGACCATAGTCTTGATTTGGGGAGCTCCTTCCTGTGGCCTCCTAGCTGCTCCACTGGTTTGTCCCTTCAGCCTGGATTGGTGACACGAAACCACTGGAGATATTTCCAGGTAATGGTGAACTGCTGAGTTTGAGGGTGGCAGAGATCAGTAACTAGCATTTTGGTAGGAAGTGTGTAATATACATGTTTGCAGAACACTCAGAAATACAGAGCTTGCCCATTTCCCTGGGTTTGTCATCTTTGATTAGAAGCTGTGCCTCTGAACACTGTGTCTAAAGGGAAAGAACACAAGTAAGAATTGGCATGTATTCCAAGGAAGCTGTGATTAGGGGGTGGTCTAGGGCCTCTGGGCTTTTTTAGCTGTGTTCTCAACGGCGTCAGGGGTGCTCTGGATGTCTGGAATATTTAGGCCTGAAATGGTAGGTTAGAATGGCATGTAGGGAAGGAACAGATTAGTGGAGTTTCAGTCACTCTCCCCTGTATCATCCACTTAAGATGAGGCACAGTTGAAGTTCTTTCTACCTTTACTATGTAGACCAGCAGAAGTCCACTGGTAGGCAGCCTCCCAAGGTGGATTTAGGTGTCCTGTTAGGGGCCTGATTTGCAACCCATTTGCTACATTTTTAGGGAGAAATGCAGTTTATGGAGTTGCATCCAAGGGCTCTTGTGTACCTTTCTCATTGCCCCTTTCCTGATCTCACACCCCTCACCCTACCATGTCCCATTGATATTGGACAGTTTCCCCTTCCTTTCAGTAGGACATGGCCTCATCTATTTGAATTTCTTCACTGAGTTTGCATATGATGTGGGCTCACAAGCCTCCCTATTTGACTAAAGATCTATGGGGCTTCATCTCCCTGGGCTCTCACTTAAGCCCAGGCCGACCTGGGCTGCAGCATGGCAAGATTAGTTAGTGAGGATGAAGGCAACATTCTTGCACTGAGAAAACCCACTTCACTCTCTTGCCAGTCAGTGGAGTTACCATCTCTACCTCTTATGTTTAAGCTCTTTTTCATAGAGCTGATCTGCATTTTCCTTGAGAGCTAAAACCAGGAGTTCATGAGCATATGGCAGAGGGCAGAGCCCAGTTAGGGGCCTGCTAAGGCATTTACACATGTTCAGTTCCTAAAGTCATCAGCTCCACTCTTTCTCGTTTGTTCTTTGCTGACTGGACTAGGCTTGGGCTCCCTTCCTGTCTTCCTCTTGTCTTTTCTACAGCATGCTCCCAGAGCTATGGGACCATCCAGAGGAAGGAGAAAAGCACTGAGAATTAGAACAACCCCAGGGTGTATTTGGCTCATGTACTGACTCTGCTTACATCATTGCTAAGTTGCTGAGCCTGTCTGTGTCTTTCTACCTGTAGCTTGGGGACAGTGATTGTGTCCAGAGCTGCTGGTGAGGACTGGAAGACATAATCCATTGACATAGTTTCTTACTCCCAGGGAGCCATAGCAAAGGTTAGATCCTTTCCCCACCCAACTTTTGTAGAGCTACTAAATAACAGCTCTAGCCCTGTAATGGATTCAGTGAACTGTGCGCCTATAATCTATGGCCAGACGCCGTCCTCAACACCAGTAAGTCCCCAGCAGCTAAAGAAGAGACCACAATATATCTCAACATTTCCCTTGGCTTTGACCTGGGCTCTCTTAGCAGCCTGGCCATTTGGAAGGATTGCTGTCTTCACTGCCATATGTAGCTGAGGACACACTCCTCTCCTGACAACTTGATCATATATGTATCCCCAACTCCCTGAACTACCGATGATGTACACTCTTCCTCCCGGAAGCTGCTTCCCCTCAGAGCAGCACATGGTATACAAGTAGGTCTGTGTGATTTGGGACACACACACATGAACACACACACACACACACACCACATGTACACCACACACACATACATATGCACACCACACACACATACACAAACCCCACACACACCATACACCATATACCACACACACACACCACACACATATGCATACAACACACACGCACATACCACACACGTGCACACCACACACCACACCACACACACACACACATACCACATATATATATACACACCACACCACCCACACACCATATACATACATAAATATACACACACATACCACGCCACACACATGCACAGGACAACATGCACACATGCACACAACACACATGCACACCACACACACACACCACACCACCCACACACACACACACCATATATATATATATATATATATATATATATATATATATATACACACACACCACACCACTCACACACCACATACATACATATACACACACATACCAAGCCACACACATGCACAGGACAACATACACACATGCACAGGACAACATACACACACACCATACACACACACACACACACACACACACACACACACACACACACACACGGCTATCCATTCATTCAGCAAATATTTTTTGCAGAGCATGTGTTATGCTGCATGTGGCAGGTGTTTCTTAGTGCTAAGGATAATAGTGCAGAAGGTAACAAAGTTCCCATTTGCAGGGCTGGCATCTGAGTAAGGCCAGGGATCAGGAATGATTAGCACGTGTGTCCAAGTACTAGAGAGATCCAGTTCAGCATAATGGAAAAATACAGCAAACACAACTAGCTAAATAAATCTAAGTCAAGAGGGCCAGGCTCTCTTTCAACAGGTGTTGCTACAACATGGGCTGGGCAGGAGACTCCTGTTAAAGAGTTATCTCAGGAGGATCTGAAGAAAACCAGGGACAATAAGGTGAGAAGGAATTGCTGAGACAAAGGCTCCAGGGGACTGTGCTGCACCTTCATGGAGCTAAAAGTAGCTGGTGGGGATGGAGTAGAGGGATGCAGGGGTGTGGAAGGAGGTGAAAGCAGGACAATGTGTGCAGCTAATAAGGATCTCTGAAGGCCACCATCAGGACCTGGGGTTTATGTCCTGGCTTATTTTTCCTGGCCCCTTTACCCCCCTTTGCCTTTCTTCTCTCTTCCACAGTACCTCTAAAAAACTCCTCATCTCTAAACATCCCCAATCCCCAAATAGACACAGAGATAAGTGTTCTTACCCAATAGAGTATTAGTCATCCATTCAAAGAATCCTCTTTGGGCTCTGGTTCCTAAGACTGGGGAGCAATGATTCTTGGCCCTGGCCTTAAGAGTCCCCCTGGTACTTGTTGGAAGCTTTGTGGAGAAGTTCATCAATAGGTTAGGTCAAAGTGGAGAGTTGCCCTAATTGGATCAGAGTGGAAGCAATTTGCTAGAGTATGGTTTTTTTCCTCCCAGAACCACTGGAAGGTCATTTCCACCAATGCCTCTGAAGTTCGTTTACATAATAGGCTTTTGCCAGGATTTGCCTTCAGGCTAAGTGGGGGAGAAGGGGATCTACTTCATTCCATAAATGTTTGGATGTACTTTCCTGTCAGCACCTACATTCGGTCCTTAACATAACTACTGATAAGCATCCACACCCACGCTGTGGTTGTTTATAGTTTTATCAGGCCAGGTAGCCTGTAACATGTAGGTACCAGCAGTAAGACCAAAAGGGTGTCAGGACCCAAGGAGAGGTCACTGACTCAGACCCAGTGCAGCCAAAGGCCAGAGTGGAGGAGCTCCCTGGGGTTGTTTTTCCTCTCCAGCCTAGCCAGGAAGTCTACAGGTAGAATCCAGAGAGGCCAAGAAACTTCATGGCAAGGGGTGAGGAATCTTTAGGACTTAAAGCGACAGGAGCAAAGGCCTTGGCTGCTGGTGTGTACTCTACTTTTCTAGTGGCTGCAGCTGGAATCTGAGAACCCAGAGATGCTGCTATGCAAAGCTGAGGTGTCAGCATAGGGCCTTGTAGGCCGGGCCAAGTGGTCTGAATTTACAGAGGACCGTGGAACACTCTGGACCGATTTTAAGTACAGATGGATTGCCAGGGCTGAGGAGGTGTAGCTCAACTGCGAAAGGGCTGGCCATGCAAATACAAGCACTTGAGTTTGATACTTGGAACCTGAAACAGATCCAGGTGTGGTGGCCCACACCTAACAAGCCCATCACTGCTGGGTCAGAACAGATAGTCCACAGGGCTTGCTGACCAGAAAGCCTTGCCTACATGGTAAGTTCTAGGCCAGGGGTAAATCCTGCCTCAGGAAAGTAAAAGTAGAAAAATAGGTAGTCATTTATTGAGGAGTGGAACCCTCTGACTTACATAGATCTCCTCCCCAGGTGCACACACACACACGTGAGTGCATACACACATGTGAGTGCATACACACAAATATATATATGTATATATATATATGTATATATATATATATATATTCACCCAAATACTCATGAATGTTCACACACTTATACACTCTCACACATACTACATACACAAACACACAGAGAGTCACACATGCACACACCCACAAATATGTGTACCCAAATATACGTGAACACGAATACACACAAGGTCATACACACACAAACACACACACACACACACACACACACACACACAAATATATGGGCACCCAAATATACATGATCTCTCTCTGTCTCTCTCTCTCTCTCTCTCACACACACACACACACACACATTGACACACTAAGAGAGGTATACATTAACATACCCATAAATATATGTGCATGAACATGATACATACTTAAACACATAGGCATGCACACATCCAAATATCCAACTATGAATGAACATCTACAAACTCATTCTCTCTATCTCTCTCTGTGTCTCTCTGCCTCTGTCTCTGTCTTTCTCTCTCTTTCTCTCTCTCACACACATACACATACACACTCACACTCTCACACTGGATGGCCTGATAGGATTGGAGTTTCAAAAAAAAAGGCCTTGATTTCCTGTGTGCGTGTGTGTATGTGTGTGTGTGTCCAGTACCCCTCTTTCAACACCCCAGGTTCTTTGACTTCTGACTTTACTTGTCCTTCTGTTACTGGAAGGCACAGGTCTTCTCCAGTCTAAAGGAGACTCATAAGTCAGCTCCACAGGCTTCATGGTGGTCATGGTTACAAGAGCTCCTCCACCACCCGGTAAGTAGTGAGCATTGCAGTAAGGTTTTGCATACTGTCTTGGGGCACCAGTTGCTGTGAAGCCTTCTTTTTGATAGGCAGGCTGCCT